GGGGACGAGGAAGAGGCCGAGATACCGGTGCGAATACTGCAGGTACAATCGATAACGCTGGCGATAACAACCACGGAGGACGCGAGGGACAAGGCAGACAAAGGGAAGAAATTGGCGGAAATAGCGTTATGATGCAAGGATCAAACATTGAAGCTATGATGAACACTACACCACCAGGTTATCGCAGTCCTCATCCCCGCGATCCAGCCTCTTCCCACCGATACTTCCATGTCGCCAACGTCCATAGAAGAGGACCATACGACATGAATCCCGTTACGGGCGTTGTACCTGCTCGGCCCATCGAGAATCCACCAATTAGGACAAGTTCATCTCCTATGTACGGAGATATGATGATCATTCCCCCTGATCCAAGGATGTCAAACATGGGTGTCTATCCTCCAGGACATCCCATTCTCGCCAATCACAGAGCTGAAGCCCATGCATTCCACTCTTTCGAGATGCCTCCACCCCCCTCTTCAGGTCCTCCTAGCTATCGGAATCCCAATTTCGCTCCATCTACTTATAGCGATGGAAATGGTAGCACTATCTACCCTGGAAACCAGCACTCTTGGAGCCCCGATCCGGAGCCTACTGCGCCAATGCCAATGCCAATGCCAATGCACGGTTCCGAGAGAGGACCAATTGGTGGCATGGATCCTCGATCATACAGTCAATCAGGTCCACCAAGCCAACCTAGATTTCGACACACCCCTACTCCATTTGCAGATCCAACCAGCTATCCAATGATATATCCGCAAAATCAAGTCATGGACACTGATGCTCACCGAGAGACCTATAACTACGCAGGCTACTACATGGACCGTCCTCATTTCAATGCCAGCTCCAGTGCCAATACTAATGCACGCGGCTCACCCCAAACACGCGCCCAAGGTCCTGCTGGCGTCTCCATGGCCGAACACCAACCATTGAGCGGTTTTGCTCGTGCACCCACATTCTCCCCTCTTTCTCGTGGTGTTTCTAGTCCAAGAAATGTATGGCACGCTTCGGATAACGGTTTACCTCCACTCCCACCACAGGTTCCCTATCTAGGGGACTTGCCTTTGGTAGCTCCTGCTGCTCCGAGACATTTCAATGAGGGTCATCATGGAGCTAGACGCAACGGACGTCATGGGAATGGCAATGCTCAACGCAACACTGTTCAAAGAGCTAGAACCACTCAATCTATGGGACAACTTCAAATGCAGATGACTACTACTACCGGTCAAGTTCAAACTGATTCTCAATCAACGCAAGCAACTACTCAAGCAAATACTATTCAGGGACAGGCTCAAATGCATTCTCAAGATACACCTGCTACTATGAAAATTGCCCTCTTGCGTACGCCAAGAGTCATCAGCAGCATGCCACGACCAAACTCAACAATGTAAAGGGATCAAGCAAGAACAAGGCAAAAATTTCAAGTAAGTTTTCAAATGCAGATAATTTTTTGAGGATAGTCATTTATGTCGTGCAATGCTGGAACTATGCTAACTCAGCCTTTCACTTAGAATTTGTACATTGAGAACAAAGGAGAAAAATCTGCGCCGGAATTGCTTGAAACCACTGTACCATCACCGGCATCTTATTTTCCTTTCTCACTTTCCTTTCGTCGAATCACGACTACCGATCAACTTCTCCGAAGACTGCGAGTTTGATTAGCATGGATCTACAAGCGACAAATGTTTTCATGAAAACTTACCCAAATCCATGGTACCAATGATAGCAACCGCGTCAGCAAGCAAATGTCCTCTTGAGATTTGATCGAATCCACCCAAATGAGCGAAACCTGGCGCGCGAATCTTGCATCGGTATGGTCTTTCACTTCCATCACTTACAACGTACACACCCATTTCACCCTTTGGTGCCTCAATTGCGGAATAAGTCTCTCCGGGTGGAACAGTGTATCCCTTGGTGAATAGTAAAAAGTGGTGGATAAGTGCTTCCATGTTCTCCTTCATAGCAGCACGGGGTGGTGGAGAGATCTTGTAGTCCTCTACTCGGATGGGTCCAGCTGGCATCTTATTCAAGCATTGATGAATGATTCGGAGGGATTGTCTGAATTCCTCCATTCTGCAGAGGTATCGATCGTAGCAATCACCATGAACACCAACTGGTACATCGAAGTCGACTTGGTCATATGCATCATAAGGTTGGCTCTTACGGATGTCAAATGGAACACCACTACCTCGAAGCATAACACCAGTGAAACTCAAGTTCAGAGCGTCAGCGGCTGAAACGACACCAACTCCTTTCGTTCTTCCAATCCAAATTCTATTATCGGTAAGTAGTTCCTCAGTTTCGTCGATACGGTCGCCGAATTGAGTGGCCCATTGGTAGATGTCGTCAAGAAGTCCAACTGGAATATCTTGATGGACACCACCTGGACGAACATATGCAGCGTGCAAGCGGGCTCCTGAAACTCGTTCGTAGAATTCCTACGTTGGATATCAGCACCATTACATTTCCTTAGATAGTCAAAATAAATAATAATAAGATTTCCTTACCATAAGCTTCTCACGTTCTTCGAAACCCCACAAGAAAGGTGTAAGAGCACCAACATCCATTGCGTGAGACAAGACCGACATAAGATGATTCAAAATTCTAGTGATTTCAGCAAAAAGCGTTCGAATCCATTTTGCTCTCTCAGGAATTTCAACATTTAGCAACTTCTCAACAGCCAAAGAGAAACATTGCTCATTGGTCATCATAGAAACGTAATCCAATCGATCAAAGTATGGTAAAGCCTGGATGTATGTCTTATATTCGATCAACTTCTCAGTTCCCCGATGCAATAAACCGACATGGGGATCCGACCTCACAATTTCCTCTCCGTTAAGCTCCAAAATTAAACGCAAAACACCGTGAGCAGCCGGATGTTGAGGGCCAAAGTTCACGGTATAATGGCGAATCTTCCTCTTCTCCACATTTTCGTCTTCGTGCAGTCTTGAATCGGGAGCCACATCGAGATGATCTGGAGTGTTGTTAAATGCGAAATGTTCGTCGGTAGGAACTAATCTTGTGCCCTCGTATGGCTCTGCGTATCTGCGGGCTGGGAGTGCTGAAAATGCTCTAATTGAGGCTCTTGATGTTGAGGGACGAAGTGTGGTGGGTCGCAACGAGCATCTAGTAGCTGTGCGCCCGGCCTGCCGGAATAGTGATGCGACCATTGTGAACAAAACTGAAGAGATACTGGATAATTTTTACCAGATCTCAATGTTTTGAGAGAGACAATGAAATGAGACTGAGGAGTGGAGAGTGAGGCCGAGTCAGCGTTTGCCTCTTTGATTATCTTGATGATGTTCTTGACTTCTTAGCACGGATCTTTTGTTTAGCTTTGCTTATTTAAGATCATTTGATTGGCTGTTATGGATAGCAAGGGTCGGCGCCGGTTGATCTTTGATGCCGATATCAAAAATTTATTTTTTAGTATATTCAGAATCTTTGCGACAGTGCGACTGAGAGTAGAACGACCCCGCGATCGATTTTTTACTTGGGTTTGGAGGATTATACGAAATGGCACCAAAACAAAAATATACTGCGGCTGATGCCCCACCACCCAGAAGCTTTTCTGAAAGAGAATTGGCAGCTAGAAAGGTACAAAGTCTTCACATGTACACTGATTTCATTTCTGATTCCGTTCATAGATAGTTGGAATAAACACCGAAACCGTCACCGACATCACATCCACAGACTTCCCAGGTCATTGGCCTAACGAAGATCATGCATGGAACAAACAAAGATTCGCCGAGAATCTCCAAGTGCAATTCCACCAAAACGAACCACTCCTCTCCTCATTCTCCCTCATTGGCATCGATGCCTCAGTCGCCAATGCCTTCCGTCGAATCCTCATTGCTGAAATTCCCACACTCGCCATCGAATACTGTTTCGTCAAAAACAACACTTCTGTAATCCAAGATGAAGTTCTCTGCGCTCGTCTCGGTCTCGTACCATTCAAGGGAGGAAAAGAGGGACTCTTAGATTTCATGAAATGGTTTCAAAAGCCCGAGGAAGAAACCCCCGAAGAAGAACGTCACCTCGGCTCTTTCGATCATAACACCATTCAATTGACCCTGAAAGTCGAATGTACACGCAACAAAGAAGCTGCTCCAGGAGAAACAGACCCAAGAAAAAAATACCACAATGCACATGTATATGCGAAGGATATCGAATTTAAGCCTTTTGGAAGACAACTCGAGTATTTCAGCGGCGAGAACACTATCAAGAGTCCCAATCCAGATATTTTGATCGCGAAGATGAGACCCGGTCAAGTCATTGATATCGACATGCATGCGATTAAGGGAATTGGAAGGGATCACGCCAAGTTTTCCCCAGTAGCTACAGCTTCATATCGGTTATTGCCAGTGATTGATATTACTCAACCAATCTTGGGCAAAGACGCAAAGAAGTTCAAGAGATGTTTCCCTGACGGCGTTATTGGAATTGAGAAGGTTACTGCAAAGGAGGCAAAGATTAAAGGAAGTGGATATGAAGGACACGAGGGTGAGGACAAGGCAGTGGTTGTAGATGCTATGAGGGATACCGTCAGCAGAGAATGTTTAAGACATGAGGAGTTCCAAGGCAAGGTCAAATTGGGGAGAGTCAGAGATCATTTCATTTTCTCGATCGAGAGCTTGGGACAATGGGATAGTGATGAATTGTTCCTGGAGTCGATTAAGACACTGAGAACAAAGTGTGAAGCATTCAAGACGAGTTTACAAAACATGACAAAGTAATTTGTGGAGATATATAGGGGAGCATTGCAGGAGTTTTAGGAAATATGGCGTTGGTTGGTTCATACGTGGATAAATGGGTATCTAGATTCTAAAGAGCTTATTGTAACCAAAAAATCAATGCCATTTATATGATATCATTCTCTCATAACCTGGTCATAGGAAACTAGATATGCAAGCTATCAGAACTCCTTTTGCCTATGATCCCGCTAAATCCACTTCATTTTCACATCATTCATTCTTCGTCGTGTTTTCCAAGCTAAACTCCGGCTAAGCAGACACACTCTCATTCGCAGCAGCATCTGCCACAAATTCCCTGGAGAATTTCAGTCTGTACTTGAACATGACTGAACCTAATGACGGATCTGTCACTGCAACCTCATCCCCGTCCCCTGTCATTTCTCCCATCTTCCTCGACAAGTTGTGCTCAGTCTTCACGCGCAAGCTCTCCGGGCTCTGCATGTACAAAGACTTATTGTCGGCTGAACGAATTGAAGGCTTCTTGAGCTGTGCTTCTGGTCTATGTGCAAGAGAATCAATGAACTCCTGAAGAGTCAAATTGGGGTCGATGCTCAAATCCCTTGCCAAGTTTCCACACACGGGACAGTCGTCCTTCTTCTCATGCTTGAAGGTGTAAGTGTAAATGCCGTCGTCTCCACTGTACATCATGTAATTTTCTTCCAACCCAAGAGAGGGATTGGTACTGCTTGCGATTTTGAACGCTTCATTACAGCAGCTTGCCGCGATTATTGCGTTAGTTGAGGCGATTGCTGGAATAATATTTTTGACCACTCCTTGTGTCAAAGAATAAGTAACACCCGGGATGTTAAACTCTTGCGCTCTAGTTAGGGCCTTCTTGTAAAGCCAAGTGATGTGTTCTGGATCATCATTATCTAGCTTAGGAAATGGCTTCTCTTGCTCCCATGCCATAATGTGAGCCCACTCGATACAATGCTCCGGTTGGCGAGGAATTGTAGCTAGCGTACAGAGAGGAACTGCAGCTCTTGGTGCGTGCATATCAAGTTGACACTCGATACAAGAAGTCATGGTCGGTAAGATTACACGGGATTGACCTTTGAATCCTAATGATACCGTTAACAAATTTGCTCTGAGTGCTTGAAACATTTCTAATACCTTCGGTACCTCCGTCAATCAATGGCTTCAGACTGTCCGGGTTTTCCATATCAACCATGTCGACCAATTTAGAATTAATCCATCGTCGGGCTTCGATACTGTCTAACCCGCATACAACAATGCTGAATTGCATGTAGAATTCCTCATCCTTGTCTTGGATCTTGCAATTATGCGGCACAATGGTGACACCCTTTACTCGTTTCTCCACAAATTTGGCTGCAACTTCAGCCTTGGACTTGCCAACATCGCTATGGCGGAAAAGAAATTGTCGATTCAGATTTGAAACATCGATTGTATCTGAAGCAGCTTAGTTAGAGTGTTATCTCAGATTAGGTTGAACAAAAAAGTACCCATATCAATCACATGAATCGTCTTGAATCCTGATAGCGCTAGATTCTTCAAGATTTCGCAACCAAGACCTCCCGCTCCACTACTTTCTGTTAGCACTCGGAGCTCTATTCTGTGAACTTCCTAGGCAACCAACATTACCCTGGAGACGTGTTAGCAATATATTCTTATTTGTTTTCAAGAATACTTACAAGATTTTCATATGATCGAGGAGAGCAGTGCATGCCTCGCTACCATCAAACTCCTCATCAGTAAATGGTCCAGGAGTTCGACGGATATTGTCTAAATAAGTCCTTCAAATTGTTAGTTTAGTAGTAAACAAATCGGAAGGATATACGTACCATCTTGAGAGTGATTGGGTCGCCATAATTAGAGAATTTGGGTGTTCAATAATTTCTCGAGTACTTCGCTGCGGTAAAGGAATTTGTTGTAGAAAAGGGTAATTGTATGATCAAAACAGCTTGGAACTGTTGGAAATGGAGTGTATTCTTATCGAGGTGCATGAGCTTGTTAGCGCTATCACAAACGCTTTAGCCGCGATTGCCCGCCGTATAGCTAGTTGGACGAAGAACAATAGACTCTGAGAATCAAAAAAATTACTTGAATCTAAAAATCTACTCAGAATCATCCATTAACTGAAACCAATACAGCTATGGATGATCTACTCACACCAGTGAGTATAGTCTATAAGAGACAAGAGCAAAAAGATGAAAATGCTCTTATTGAGGTTTCTACCTCTTCAAGTTCACCATTAATCCAGCCAGTCAAAAAGACCCATTCAGATCCTATACGCATATCAAGCGCTGAACAAGCATTGGAAACTCTGAAAAACCAGCCTAGCTTTGACGACTTGAAGTCGGCTCTGGAATTTCTTGATAATGAAACAGATTTTAGTATTACTTCTCCAGGTCCCCTGGCTTCTCAGCTAGTTCATGTTTTGGTGTCTGAAGTCACACCCAATTACTGGAGTATTTTTCATGAGTCAGGCGGCAGGGCCAAAAAGAACAAGCAATCTCCTATTTTTAAATTACTGCTTAAATCAATTCGAAGTACAACCGGTATTAATGCTATATTGCTGAATTTAAAGCGACTCACGCAGCAGTCCAAGGAGATTAAAAAGAATATAGGAGGTAAGCTATCCGAAACTTAGGTTTAAAGAAGCTATTCATTTGAAGATCTAACGATATATAGGTCCAAGCATCGAAGAGAGTCTAAAGATACAGCTGCAACTTTGTGTTGAGGTTCTTGAAGGGGAAAGCACTGTCGAAAAGCTCTGGAACACTATCACTAGTTCATCTGATGTCGCTATCAAGCAGAGAGTTCTTTTCAACGAGTTCTTGAACTTAATAGGGAGTGGAAAGGTCATTGGTATCACTGCCGAGGCCGAAGCAATCTCTAATAAACTCAGTAAACAGCCAAATGACAAGCATTGGGTCGCCGATGGAGGCTCCTATAGCAGATGGCTGGGCCAAAATATCATCTTCTGGATGAAAGCCCTGCCAAAAGACTCCGAGCAAGCATGGAAGAGCTGCAACGAGCTCTTTGGGAAGTGTCTTAGGCTTGGTCATATTGGTAAGACTACTCATTGGATTGATTTGATTTCATCGCTCACCGGGGTCCAGATAATATTTCCAAAGAGATTTTAGGCTCTCTACTCTTACAAAAAGAAGAAGATGCAGCAAAATTCTTGAAGCTATATGGATACCTTCCAAGCTTTGAACAACGGAATCTACTTCATACATTTTTAAATCTATTGTCACGGGATAATTTATCATTGGATATCACATCGGAGGACGATGAGAAGTGGTGGCAAACAAATGAAGTCATCGTATCAGCAGCGGCTAAGCTCATTAGCATGCTAATCGCTGATAATGAGTCGCGGAAAGATCATCTGATAACTTGGTTGACAAACTCCTCGGGGGCTGGTATAGGCGAAGGTGTGGCAATTCGACGTGCTGCAATCGCATCCCTCTCAAAAAGCAAGAAGGATATGGAAAGCATATTGGAAAGAAGTTTGAGCCAGTTTGGTGATAATTTGTATATTAGACATGCGCCTACCTTGCAACAAGAAGGTATGCTTTTTCAAAAAATCAAATGCCATTCCTTTGCTAATATGATTCCAAGTACATGCACAAGTTTCTCCTCCTGTCTGCTGGATACGTTGTAGAATGTCGCCTCTTCGACTTGCGATGATCATGAGGTCCGGTTCTCATTTGAGTGTTGTTTCAAATAGATTAGCTGCATCATCACCTCGAGCACGCTTCTTGGGTATGGTCATTGGAGAAGCCATGTCCAGCTTAGTCGATAAAGGAGATAAAATCATGGATTTCAAGATTGAAGGTACGAAAACGTCCGAAGCAAAATGGTACAAGAGTTTGGTAAACGTATCAGATACAATTGGCAATCTTGAGCCTCTCAAGTCGACGTTTGTTCCAAAAATATCGAAAACAACGAAATCTGCAAAGGCCAAGCCAGCTTCAAAGCCAAACCCCCTCAAAGGAAATTCTAAAATCATCTCCATCGAAGAAATTGAAGACGATGACGAAGTAGAATCTGATGACGATGGACTTACTCCTTATGCCAAACCTGATTCCGATGTCGAAGACTCCGATGAAGATCCAACACTTGTCATCAGAAACAAACCAACAGCTCCCGTCTATATTCGTGATCTCATCACCTATCTAAGAGATACTGAAAACTATGATCGTCAAAAACTAGCACTTACCACTGCAGCTTCCTTGATACGGCGTAAAGCCAACTTTGGCGCAGAGGTCAGTTCTCACGCGGAAGAGATCGCAACTCTTCTTGTTGGTTTGCAAGATAAATATGATATCGAGAACTTCCAAGAAATGCGTTCCCAAGCTATGATCGCCATCCTCATTGCACTACCAGAAAAAATGGGCCAATGGTTTTCGAAGACATTCTTTGATGGTGATTATTCTCTAGCTCAACGTGCTGCAGTTCTTACCACACTCGGTCTTGGAGCTCGGGAGCTAGGTGGCCATGGTTCTGAAGACAAGTCTCTCACCAATGCCACTGGTTCATCTTCATCTTCATCGACTTTTCCTTCCAAAAAGCTCCCAGAAGCAATGCACAGATACTATTCTCCGTCTCCTACAAAGCCTGCTCTTACTGCTCTTAGCGCAACAGCCAATCCCGTCGAAGCCCTAACCAGCAGCCTGCAAAAAACTTTCCTCGCGCCTCTTGCAGCCCAAACAGCCGACAGCTTAAGCGGTCCAAATATTCTTAAAGTCCGTACTTTTTCCTCGCGCCTCGAGGTCGAGAAAAAGCGCAAAAAGCCCATCTCCAATGCCCTTGCCAAAATCGTCTCTACCTCATTTTTCTTCCCCTTAACCGGTCGCTTTTTTATTCATCTCAAAGCCTACGGTTCAAACTCTTCTTCCAACATCACTTTCCAACCCTATCTTCTCAGCCTCTTTCTCAAAACCCTTAGTATAATTCTCCACTCTTCCGGACAATCAACACTAAGTCTTCCACAAATGACGAGCGAATTTTGGGATTTATGTCTTGGTTTAAGAATGCAAGCGATGACAGATACGGTAGTGCAAGAAGCGCTATTGTTTTCTTTTATGACGATTTTGGAGATTAATGATAGAGATCTTAGGGGTCTGGCGGAAAGACATGGGAGGGAGTTATTGGAGACGAGGGAGTGGGTTGAAGGGGTTTTTAAGGGGATTGGCGCGGGGAGTGAGGAAGATGAAAAGAGGAGATTACTTGCTGCGGGCGTGTTGGTCAGAATTGGGGAGTGTGTGGAGAAGTGGCAGAGGCTTATGGTGGGGGATGTGGTAGGGTTTACGTAGACGAATCGGATGTAATGCTGAGAGAAATGACGTCTTCTTGCTTTTGATGCATGAGCCAGACTTTTAAGTCCCCGTCTCGAGCCCGGATCGTCGTGTAGACAAACTTGCAGGAGATGTTGATCAAAGTAAGATAAGAAATCGATTGAAGCGAAGGATATAGATGTAAATTGTTTTGAGAGAACTTCTGCACCAGTGAATTTTCACAACTGGTAAGAAGAATCGTACGATACGCTAATTGGATATACTGAGGTCACAAATGTTGAACTGAATGAGCGACTGCTTTTTCAAAAATACCTTGTTCGATGACATAATCTTCCAATACCTAGGTAATTATTTGCACTTCTCCCAGGTACGCTGTTAAAACCACGCCGCAATAAAAATAGAAAATATTTTACATCTTGTCCGATATCCTTCATATTGGTTGTTGTCCAACATGCATTCTAAATCCCTTTCACCGGCTAAAGGTTCGCCCTGTCGCCCCCTGCCCTCATAACCCCCCTAGCACTATTCAGCTGCGCCCCTAGATCTTCATTCCAAATCCACTTGCACCTCTCCACCAATTTCTCCTTCATACTCTCAATATTCACACCTACGCCATCACACCCTATATCCTCCTCATTCTCGAATTCATAAAGTTCCGCTGCTTCTCTACTTGTCTTCACTACCTTTTGACTCCTCGGCCTCCTAATCTCGTCGTACGCTCTAAACGCCCCTTCAATGTCACCCACTCCCTTGCAGTCTCCAAGTAAATTACTCAAAACAAAGGCATCTTCGATAGCTTGCCCCGCACCTGCTCCTTGATGGGGAGTACTTGCATGAGCTGCGTCACCTGAGAGCACAAGCCTACCTTTATAGTAAGTTGGAGCAGGAGGGTGATCGAAGAGAGCCCAGACGTCTGGTTTTTCTATAAGTGATAAAATGTGTTTTGCATCTTTACCCCAGCCTTCAAAATCGGAGAACATGTCTGACTCTTTCATTGGGATAACCCATTTTTCGTTTTCCCACTTTCCATCCGGTTGCGTTTGAAAAGCTACGACATTCATTGTGGCGCCTTTTTCAATGGGGAATGTTAGGATCTAGAGGGATGTTAGTTTCTATTGAATCAGACGATGGAAAAATACTTACGTGACTTTTATGGCCTAGATACATCTGACTGTTTTTGGCTAAATATTCTCCAACAGCTCCAATCGCCTTTTCCATGGGAATCAGACCTCTATATGCATACTTTCCACTAAATACCGGTGAAGTTGCTTCATGATCATCGCCCAGAACCATGTGTCTCGTCCTCGATTTAATACCATCACACCCAATCACCGCATCCGCCTCCGCAGTCGTTCCATCCTGGAAAGTCATCAATAGCCTACTTCCCTTCTCCTCTACCTTCTCAACTCTCTTTCCAAATTGTGCGATTTCTTTTGGAACCAGTTTAACCAATTCATCGAGAAAGTGAGCTCTGTGAACAGAAGCTTGTCCATAACCTTCGGCCACAACTTTAGCCAGAAATTCTCCTTCTTTAACTGGTGGTTTTCCTGTTTTGAAATCTTTCCAGCCTTCTTCGGACGTGCCTATCCGGAAATCAAACCAGACATCTCTTTCTTCCGGTGATCCATTGTAGGTTGCGCAATTGTTAAAGCCTCGTTTGATAGCTGGATCTATCAATTCCATTGCTCTGATGGAATTGGGTCCGAATGATACTCCTGCACCCTGTGGAATATGAGCATCAGAGTAAGTTATAAAGGAAAACGTGTGATCATACAATTTCCGCAAATGCAGGCGCGGCTTCGTATACTATGCATGGGATGTTTTGTTTTATGAGACCAATTGCCATACATAATCCACCGATACCTCCGCCTGAATAGTTATTAGGTGAAGTTTACTTTGATTTTAAGGTTGCAACATACCGCAAATGGCGACATGGAAAGGTTTCTTGGATTGAGTGGATGCTGACATCATAGAGAAAACAATTGGGAACACCTTGGTCTGGGTTATGAGATGGTATATGGTATCGAAAGAAAATTATAGGTAGAATATAACGAGAAGACGACTTGGAGAAGGAGGACTGAGCATACGAAAGGAAAGCACATCTCAAAGGAAGTAGAAGTATATATAGTAGAAACAGACAACTATATCTGGGGTATACTGATGTGGCACATACGACCGCTTACCACTCCAACATCAAGCTCATTGTCATGTATTTCGGAGCCGCTCTTGCCAAGCTCCCCGCATTCAATCATTTATATAATTGATTTATCAATACTTGGGAAAACATATACCATTCAAACCCCAATTCGGGCCTCGGCATACAAAGACGTTACTAAGTTTATCCCCTAGAGTGCTAGAAATGGGCTCCGAAAGTGATCCGTGCAATATACCTTGAATAATAAAGCCTTATTGGATAGAATAGTTCTTTTAATGGTTTTTCAGTCATATTGTTTATAATATAGAATCTTGATTTCAAATTTCGGTTTTTTATAATTTGAAAAAAAAAAAAAAAAAAAAGAGATTGAAAATCAGTAAATGTTATTACATTCGAAATTTTAATATAGAAATGATATTGATTGAATTTTATATTAAAGAATAAATGTGGATATTATATTAAATTCTCAAAAGTTTGATGATCTAATTGGTTGATGAGATCCCTGTTAAGCGACGGAGCCCATCTCTGGCACTCTAGGGGATAGAAATACCTTGGCCATAAGAGGTCAAGGTCGGGGAGATAACTCTGTCAACTCTGTCCCGAAAGAATCCGAAACTAAAAAGGAACTTGCGTCGGTCATGCAGAAGTGGACCAAAGCACTGTTCTTGAGTAATCTTGCACGTGATCGCGCGCTCTGAGCGCGTTCTTCCTCACACGCGAAGTCTTATCGTTATCGCCCCCTCATCGCATCTGGTTCTTTCTATCACTACCTACCTTCATCTCCTCCTCAATATACACTAGAAGACGTTAATTTGCTGGTCCAAATACTATCTTCATTCGCTCCTTCAAATAATCGACATCATGCCTTTAGGTTGGGAGAGAATCAATGCCAAAAGAACACAACCAAATAACAATATCGTCTTCATCAAACCCCTCTCTGGTGAAGATCAATCCAAATCTCAAGAATTTTTGGAACGAATTGCCGCACAGTGTACTCCCATAATGAACAAACATCATCTCGCTGTTGCATCACTAGAAGAGTATCCTCCCAATCTAGAATTCTGGGGTATGATCCCCCTTCTCAGCTCATTCCAGATATACTAATCAAATATGCAGGTCGCAATTTCAATAACGGAGAAGTCATACAACTTGTACTCAAGTCGCCTTCAACATGCAGATGGCTGCCGTTCAAATTTGTTCAGATGGTTATGATGCATGAGTTGGCGCATTGTAAACAGATGAATCATTCTGGGGCATTCTGGAAAGTTAGAAATGAATATTCGGCGGAGATGAAGGGGCTATGGGAGAAGGGATATACAGGTGATGGACTTTGGGGACAAGGTGTACTATTGAAAGATGGTGCGTTTATGGGAGATCAGTTAGGTGAGGGAGAGGTATTGCCGGAACACTTATGTGGTGGAACTTTTAAGTCGAGAGGGGGAGGGAAGAAGAGAAAGGCCAAACCGAAGATCACTTATAAGGAGCAGAAAGAGAGGAGAATTAGAAAGAAATTTGGTGTTAATGGAGTTGCTTGTGAGTCTAGCATCTATATCCTACTAATGCTAAACCTCCTCTTCAATCTCGAAGCACAGTACTAATCCAAACAACCGCAGTAGGAGAAGACGTCGCTACAAAAGTCGCTCTTGAGAAAGGCAAAACGAATCGATCCAAGCCTAAAGTAGCGGGTAGTAAACGAGGCCGAGAACTTCGCGCTGCTGCTGCATTGGCTCGTTTCGGAGTGAAAAAAGAAGAGCCAGACATTAAAGACGAAGATCTAGTCACCGATAGCGAAGCAGAAAGTGATGTGGAAGACGAAATGTACATCAAGCCTGAACCAGATGATGCACTTGATCTTGATGGGAGTAGACTTGTGGATCGAAAGGGGAGGGGAATGGTCAAAGTTTGTGAAGATGAGGACAGAGATAATGAGGATGCGAAGAGAGAGTTCGAGGAATTAAGAGGGATGGAGAGTATTGAAAGATACTTAAACCGGATAGCTCATCAAAGATTAAACGGGAATCGCAAGAAGAAGCGTCACCAAATGGGCCAGGGTCGTCAAAGACAGAAAAGCCGACTAGAAGCAAAAATATCGAGACGAATACCCCCACCGCAAAAACCCCTTCGATCAAACCAAGACCGCCCATCGCTATAGCCCCCGAAACCAAATTACAAACACCTCCTCTTAATTCGGCGTCGCCAAGAACCAAGTCTTCACCCCCATCTCCATCTCCATCAACCTGTCCAATCTGCTCCCTAGAAAACCCACCCAACTCCCTCACCTGCACCATCTGCGCCAACGTGCTCCGTCCCAAAGACGTACTCGACTCGTGGAAATGCACAAGTGCAATTTGCAGAAACGGGTCGTACATCAATGCCGGAGATGTCGCCTTCTGCGGTGCTTGCGGAGAAAGGAAAGGGAAAGCGATATGAGAGCGCTTGTTTTGGAGTTAGGGGGTGGAATTTTAGATCGCTTTCCTGAGAGCGGGGAGTTAACGATGTATTTATGACGGAGTTCCGGGAGTGTGGGGAGGGGGGGGGAAGGGGGGAATTAGTTCGTAATGGGTTTGGTATTTGTACAGAATAGATTAGATGTAAGGTTAAGTTTATCATTTTGGGAAATAATGAGAATGAGAATAGGAAATCAAAATAATTAAAGATGTTAGAGAAATAATATAAATTACCTATCTACTCATTTCGATAGATATTGAGGTAGTAGATAAAAAGCTCACCGGTCGATACCTTATTCTTCTAGGGTTAGTCATGTCACGTTTTTCGAAACTTCAAATTCCAAATTCGAAACTTCAAAGAAGAATTAAAACCAGATATAGAAATCAAGTCACCGGGAAGGAATAACGAAATCAAGAGTGTCTTTTTATTTTTTCATATCACGTATTTTGTATTATATATTATTAATGAGCTGTATACTATAAGTATGAGTTTATAAGTATGAGTTGTAACTGGGTTTATAGATATAAGTTGTGAGTTGTAAATTGTGGACTATAAGTTTATAGGTATGAGTTTATGGATATGAGTTGTATGCTATAAGTTGTAAGTTATAAGTCTGAATTTATGAATATAATTTTATGAATATAAGTTTATGAATATGAGTTTATGAATATAAATTTATGAGTATGAGTTTTTGTGTATTTTTGGTAGAGAAAGAGAGGTACAAGGTGTGATGGGATGGGATGGATGGGCTTGGGAACTGGAGTTCAGTAATTTTTTGTCGTTCAGTTGGGCATCTAGCTGTCTTCGTGAATAGATAGATAGATACTTTATATATATGTAAATAAATTTAAATATGAATATCTTTCTATGTATAATTTATATGATGAGAAGAGAGAAGAGAGAAGAGATGAGACGAGACGAGACCAGATACATCCTACATACCTAGTGGTTTTATAAAGATGATATGATAAGCGTTACTAGCTTTTTGCTTCGAAGTTTTGAGTACGTATCATTCTTTGGATAGTTTGGACGAAGCAGAGAAACCTTGGAATGAGAAGGTTTGTGTAAAATCAATTGGGTAGATAAGTCTAATAGTATTGTGCCGAAGATGGAAGTACAACGTTGATGGATGGGATTCAGATACGTGTTGAGCTGTTCTCGCAGTATCGTAACTCATTGGATTTTATGCACTCGCTCTATGTTTTCTCATTCTTTCCCTTTCGTCCTTCCTTCCCTCCCTACGCTCTCTCTCTCCTTCTACTAATCGATAACATCATCCCTCAACGCAAAAAGTTCCGCCATCATTTCTCCCGTCCTACTCCTCACAGCATCATGATACATTCCATTAGTAACCCACTGTTTACATCCCCTCACCAATCTAACTGTTTCCTGCGCTAGCCCAAAATCCACGTACATGTCATCCACATACGTAGCTGAATACATGGGAACTTCATTTCGTGCCAATTGCCATTCATCGTATAGAGGGGGCCATTCTGTGTATTCGGCTAGGATCTTGGCGGCTGGGTAGATAGCGGAAAGTTCGGGGGAGGTTTCGAACATGAAGGGATAAATCATTTCACCGGAGAAGAAGAGCGGCTCGCTGATTAGGGAGGAGGGGGAACGGGGACGCCCGGTGAGCCATTTGAATTCGGAGAGGGACCTTCCTACCTATGACAAAGAAGTTAGGGATTAGATGAATGGCGATAGAGGTGATGCAAGAGAACTTACTCGGTCGGCGGCCCAGTCTGAGGCTTTGCCTTGGCAATAGATGGATTCGTGCAAGATAGCGTAGATTACATTGTTATCCATACTATGAGAATGTAAATGACCATTTATCAAGGGGAAATTTGGGAATAGCGAAGAATTTGGTGAGTGTTGGAAGTGTGAAAGGGAAATCTGAAAACTGCTCACCTGACTATATCCTCAATAACCTTAAGAGTAGGTTTAGTAATGAACGAATACTGATCCAAATCCGAACTCATCCTTAACACAATATCATGAACCAGATCCAAACCTCCATGGAACCCAAACTGAATACCCATAGTTAAGAACATTCTCACAGTCAATGTACCACCAGATGGCATTTGAAGTCCATTCTTAGCGCTAATGTGAATTGCCAGACCTTGAACAACAGCAACATCTTCGGGAAACTTTTGATAGTAGGCCCGGTTTCTCTCAATTACTTTTTGAAAGGTAGCGCGATAGACTCGATCGGCCGAGTGACCAACTGGGGCAAGACCACCGCTGGTGAAAACTTCACGTAGACCTTGGTGGTGAAAAGAGAGATATGTGAGGATGCAAAAACCACCAAATGATTGGCCGAACACGGACCATCTGTATGATGTTAGCGGGTGTTCACTCTGGATTTCAATAACGTGGAATCAATGGTATGAAAGATGAACTTCGTCTGTGTCGAGAGACAAAGTTTTGAAAGGGGACGGGAAGAAGGAAATGTTTTGGGATAAAAAAACAATTGGAAATGAGAACTCGGAAGAGAATGAAGAAAATTACATACTTCTTGAGTTCTTCAGGATAATCAGCAGTGAGTATCTTTCTTATAGCCTCACAATCCCTCACAATATTATCAGCTCTGAAATGCTTAAGATAATCGGCTTGACGTTGAGCATCTCCCTGCAAAGCCAAAGTACCAGCTGAAATCGGATTACTCAATCCAGTTCCCCGCTGATCAATATATAACATTTGATAGCCTTTATCGAGAACTACATTGGTAATTGGAGAATCTTGAGGTGGTCTGCATCCAAAACCTGGACCACCTTGGAGGTAAACAAACCAGGGCTTTTGGGAAGACTTGCGGTTTTCTTCTTCCGTGGGGTTTGTAGCTGGATTCTCATACTTGATTACACTACGCGCGAATATTCGAATTGAGCCTTTTGATTCATTAGAGTAGCTAGATAGGTAGGCTGGAGTTAGAGTCTTATCTTTCAAAGCCGATACTCGTTGCTGTTTGTTGGGATTACAAGAAATTCTCTGGGGATATCACTCACTCCAAAGGAACCTCGAAAAATAGTTCCGAAACTTTCAGCTTTCCTAGGGATATGTTAGTTTAAATTTCTTGCTTAGTAGTGCTAAGCAGAGAACAATGATAGATTCAGATAGGAAACAGGACAAGTCATGTATTGTTTGTAGATTGAGCCCAATTTGAGCAGATGAGACCAAATTGGTCATGACAGATACAAAAACAGGAATATGTGAGTGTTTTCCAAACATAGAGAATCAAAACGAAGATAATATCTTACCTGGTATCAAGTGTGTTTTTGAATCCACAAGCTGAGATAAGGACATTTTGCTAGGTAGTTTTGAGGCTGGTGTTGTCCTTAACAATTTGAAGAGTTGCTTGTTGAGGTTGAGCATAAGAAGTATCTCAAGAAAAGGCAATTCTATAAATTGAAGGGTACAACAAGATCGATCTAAAGAGATCTATAAACTGTTGGATGAGCACACCGCTGACTGAAGTGCGCTTTGCTTAATATGATATCTCAAGCTCAAAGAAAGATAAGCAACGGATGGTGGAAAAGAGTGAGATTGTACACCTATTCATGTATGATACTTGAAGAATATAAGGTTAAAGGAGGATCACCGCTTTTATATGTAGCGAATGTTATCGGGTTGAGATTTTCACAAGTGTCTTATATGAAGATATAATCTCTATATATAACATATACGGGACTTGAGTATTCACGCACCTGTCTATTTGGGGGACCTGGTGGACTCCAGGAGGGGAAGCCATGCAAACGTGGGGCCAAGTCGGCCTTCAAGGGTAGATTGCTGGATTGCTGGATTGCCTCTTGCTTGCCTTCTGCACATTTAATAACACGCCTGCGCTATCACACAACACAATCCACCCCACCAAGAAATAACCAAACATCCATCTTTATCAAAGAAGAAAGAGTTGATTGAAATAACCTTGGAAGAATAGGGAAAGCTTAAAGGTATGTGATATTCAATACCTCTCTTTACCTACATAGTAATTCCAGATACATTGGAGATGAAGGAGAGAGTACAGTTTGTAGTATCATGGTTTCGTATGGTTGCTCAATATCATTCAATTGATTGAGAAAATGAAAGTTCGTTTTTTATGGGTCCCGTGCTTGCAAAATCTTCCATTCACTATCCAGTGGTTACATGATACCACACACATACAGGATCAGACATACCCGTACGGTTTCAAAGCTTCTCAGAACTTACATATAAAGCCATTAGAGGATCGATCACATCCAAGCCATCTGAGCTACCTATACGCCCTACCTCTACAGAATCGCTGACTCTCTTTTCTTTAGTCACGTGATACTTGTGCCCCTCCCTCTTGACTTTCTGGTCGACTCTTCAAGATGGCTAAAGACAAGAAATCCAAGTCTGAAGACAAAAAGAAGAAGCTTGCGGAAAAGAAGCAAAAGCAAGAGAAAAAGGCCGACAAGAAAGAAAAGTCGAAAGCTCAAAAATCCAAATCCGCCGACGACAGCGACAATGAATCCATCGATCTCGATTCTGTTCTTGCCGAGTATGCTAAAGCTCAAGAATCTTTCTTGAAGATCACAGAAGTGGTTTGCGAGCCTCCGAAACCAAGAGCTTCTTCGACTCTCATCGCTAGTCCTAATAATGCGAATGAACTATTTTTATTCGGGGGAGAGTATTTCAACGGCGCTTTGGCGACTTTCTTCAATGACTTGTATGTATATGCGGTTAATAAGGATGAGTGGCATGTAGTGACTAGCCCAAATGCTCCATTGCCAAGATCAGGACATGCGTGGTGTAGAGGTGGAAATGCAGGGGGCATATACATGTTTGGAGGGGAGTTTTCCAGTCCGAAACAGGGAACCTTTTATCACTATAATGTGAGTTCTTTCACGCCATATCATTATACATCATACTTTCAGACTTGAGAACTGGGATATAAATAATTGATATATGAATATATACTAACAATACACAGGATTTCTGGCACCTCAATCCCTCTGAACGTGAATGGACACGTCTAGAAACCAAGGGCAAATCTCCCCCCGCTCGTAGCGGTCACCGCATGACCTACTACAAAAACTACATTATCCTATTCGGCGGTTTCCAAGACACATCGCAAGCGACCAAATATCTCTCCGACCTCTGGATCTACGATACTTCCAACTTCATCTGGCACAATCCCGTCCTTCCCCCCGTGACCCAGAAACCCGACGCCCGATCATCCTTCACCTTTCTCCCGCACGAGAACGGCGCCGTGTTGTACGGAGGCTATTCCCGTGTCAAAACAAACGTCTCAGGAAAACAGATGAAAGGCGGTGGAATGGCCATGCGCAACGTGCTCAAACCCATGATCCATCAAGACTGTTTCTACCTCCGCATTACTCAACCCGTCGATACATCGACCGCCGCTCCTCCCACCGTGCGTTGGGAACGCAGGAAAAAACCAGCCAACACCCCGAATCCTCCACGTGCAGGCGCTACAATGGCTTACCACAAAGGGCGCGGTATTCAATTTGGCGGTGTACACGATGTTGAGGAATCCGAGGAGGGAATCGATAGCGAATTTTTCAATACGCTATTCGCATGGAACATTGAACGAAATCGTTATTTCCCCCTTGCCCTACGTAAGCCACGAGCTCAAAAGAAAAACAACGGAGGAAACGAGCGAGGAGGAGGAAGAAGAGGAAGAGGCCAAGCGAACGAAGAAGAACTCCTACGCAATCTCGCCGCGCTCGAGACGGGCAAATCGCTAGCCGATGCAGATGATATGGAGATTGACACAAGCAAGCCCGAAGATGAAGACGCAGATGCCTTACCCGCTAAGCAGATTCTCATGGAATTCCCCCACGTCAGATTTAATGCACAATTGGCCGTTCAAGATGATGTTCTCTACATCTACGGAGGTACATATGAGAAAGGCGACCGCGAATTTACGTTTGATGAAATGTACGCGGTCGATCTAGGCAAAATGGATGGCGTAAAAGAAATATTTAGACGAGAGCCCGAGAACTGGCTTGGCAGCGAGGACGACAGCGAAGACGACGAAGAAGATGATGACGAAGACGACGACGACGAGGAGGAGGAGGAGGAGGAAGATGCCGACGAAGATGGCGATGTCAAAATGGACGATAAAAAACACCTGCACACCGAAAGCACACGCAAATCCAAGCGCAAAGAGAAGGATGCTCTTTCCTCGGAGCTCCCCGATTCATCCCCTGTTACTTCTGCACCCGAATCCTTCGACGATACACCCGATACCTCGACGACCAGTCCGGACGATCATCTCCCGCATCCTCGTCCGTTTGAGAGCCGTCGCGATTTCTTCCAGCGCACGGGTAATGAATGGCAGGAAGCGTTGATGACGGGACTGCGCTGGAAGGGAATCCAGCCTGAAACGCTCAGTGTTAAGGAGATTAAGACGAAGGCGTTTGAGATGAGTGAGGAGAAGTGGTGGGATTGCAGAGAGGAGATTGTGGCGTTGGAAGATGAGCAGGAGGCGAGTGGGATTGGAGAGGTTGTGGCGTTGGCGGAGAGGGCGGAGGGAGGTGGAGGGGGTGTGGGAAGGAGACGGTAGGTTTGGTATGATAGGGTGGATGGGTAGATGGATAGGTGAAGACGCGGATAGGTGGACTTTGAGCTGGCAAGATTATACATATTCTACCATCCTCCTCCTCGTGATTTCCTTACCGATCAGAGCGTCTGAATCTTTGTACTCAAAGATACTCAACACTCAAGACTTGAACTCCTGACTTCCTCTCATTTCCATTTTCCCTGGGTATCCCAATATAAGAACTAAATATACATACGTACAATCATGAAGATATCCATCAAGGTGATCATTCTTCCCACTAACTTGCCTATTTATCTAGACCCAAAATCCCAACCCCAAGCAAACCACAACTTCTCCCCTTTCCCCTCCCTCCCACATCTTCGCATCCCGTCCAACCCTCTCCTAAGCACCATACCTATTAAAACACTCTTCCTTATGGGTCCCCAAACAATCCAACGCACACACCCTCCCTCCACACCTCATACACTTCACTCTCCCCCAATACCCACACACCTCACAGAACACTCTCCCCGGTTTCCTGCGATCCTCCTCCGTCCAGCCCCCTCTCGCCTCCACATAACTCAACGGCGGCACCTCCAACAACCTCTGCATCTCCTGCACACTCGGCAGATTCGGCACGCGCGAAACAAGCAACGGATCGTGATCTCTGGGGTGCGGTTTCGGGGGCGGCAACGCGCACAAAAACGGCGCGAATGTGGATTCTGCTTGCGTGGATATCGCAGGTGTGGAACTCACTGCAGCTGCTGTTTCCGCTTCGGAGTTGATCATCGGTGTGCTCGTGCTCATGGTTCGTAGGGGTGTGGAAATGGCGGGCGCGTTGGGATCTTTTTTTTTGTGGCTGCGCTTGGGGGGGTCGATGACGGGGGGGAGGGGCTCTTTTCTCTTATGGCTGCGTTTTCCGGTGCTGGTGAAGCCGGGGGCGTGAGGGACTTTGGGGGTGGAGAGGGGAGGGGGAGGGGGTTGCTGGGCGGAGGTTGTGGACGTGGGAAGGGAGGAGAGGGCTTCGAAATCGGAGAGATGGTTTGCGAATGTTTTTTGGGAGGCGAGGATTTTGCGGACCGAGGGGGTGAGTTTGGTTTGGTTTCCTATTTGTGCTTTATATTAGTATTTATTTGCACACACATATATATATATATATATCTAGCTTCATTTCTCTCCTCTCCTCTCTTCTCTTCTCTTCTCTTCCTCTCCCCGAAAGCCCCCAAGAAAATCACATACCTCTCCCCCTTCCTTCCCCCTCCCGCCCCCGGTAACCGGTATATTAACATCCCTATGATTCTCCCTATCCAACTGCGCCAACTCTCTCAGAATTTTCGCATCCTGTTTCTTCGTCGTTTCCGCACCCAATCCCGCACCAGCTGGGCCGCGCGCGCGGCGCGCCGAAGGCTGTAATCCTATTTGCGGCGCATTGGATACATCGGGTACGTATGCGTAGCCTGGGGCTGGAACGTATTTTGAGGGCGCGATTTCAAGGACGCCGAAATTCATATTTGGGTGTGAGATTTGTAGAGCATGTGAAGAGACGTGAAGGAATAGATGGAAAAAGTTGGTGAGGTTTTGTTTCTAGAGGGCGAGGCGAGGCTGAATGTTGTGGATGGTGAGGTTTTGCGAGATATGGAAGTCATGGAATATCAGGACTTTTTTATTTTATTTTTGAAAAAATTAATGAACACATTTACTAAAGCTGTTTTTATGCGATCCAGTCAAATTCAAATCTCAGCATTACAACTCAAAGCTTTACATTGCTCCAAAGAAGCTTCTTTGAGCACCCCACCACATAAAATCATTATAAGGTACTTGGAGATGTTTCTTATTTCCTATAAACCTAGCATTATGCTCGCAGCTCGCAAAGATATTCGTCAAATCGACTCATCGCATCGCATTTCGGATATTATACACGATCTCCTTCTGCTTGCATTCTCTTCCTAGCTTCCCGCACTATGCATTTTCCTCGCAATCGCCTTTCCAATTCCTTCTCGTCCACTGACATCCTCTCTTCGCTTATTTCTTCTTCTTTTCCAAATCTGCAAGCTTCTCCTCTAGCGATTGAACATATGTGTGAACTCTCTGTACTGAATTTTGCAGACTCTGTATTGTGCCTTGGTTAGCCTTGTTTCCATCCAATCCACTTCTTATCATTAGATCCTCCCTCTCCCCCCTAGCCCGCAACATCATTCCCTCCAAACCAAATAGCAAAGATCCAAGAGAACTAAAACTCACATAAATATCCTCTGTCAACAACTCATTGCTGACCTTGTATTCCTCGAGAATATAATAGTAAACTCCCGCACCGGCTAATGTTGATCCGAGTAAGAAGCCAGTCAATCTAGAGATCCCCATACAAATTAGCTTTCATCTCCATCTAGCTGTATCGTTTTCTATATTCTTCCCCTCTTTCCCTCACACCCGTTGAGCCCATCGAACCCGTCGAACCCGTCGAACCCGTCGAACCCGTCGAACCCGTCGAACCCGTCGAACCCGTCGAACCCGCCGAACTTTAGACCACTCCCCTCCCATGCTTCCCCTCCACACCAAACCAATCTCCCAAACAAGAAAATTCCAAACTCACCCTCCTCTAAAGGCCCCAACCGGCTTCCTAACTGGCAAAGGAGTTTCCGTAATCTGAGCTGCTCTCCTCGCACTCATTGAAAACCCTCTGGTAGCTCCCATTACTGGTGCGCGAAGCATTCTGCTCGCTGGTGATAAGATGCGCGATGCCATTGTGTTTGTAATAGTATGTCCCGGATTCGCAATATCGTGGTTGATAGTGTGAAAACAGATTGTCGATCAAAAATGCCGTCAATTGCTTTGTTACGTCGTGGTGCGGGAGTTCTTTAAGCGACCTCTTTCGTATGTTTTGTTGAAGATCAAGCTTTTGTTTGGAGCTTTCCCCGGCCGACCAACTAACTTCCTGAGGCGCGAATATTTTTTGGCTAAAGCGATGCGGGGTGATTTCACGATTTACAGCACCAATCAATCAAATCACTTCTGATATACGAGGGCATGTCTTTGATGAATACCGGGCTGAAATTTAACCGAATTTTCTTACCAAAACTATATTTTATTCTATATATTCATAAATATATAATAATTCAAATATTCATTATAAAACTTTGAAATTTGAAGAATATAAAGAGATTTAATTAATAATTAATTTGATATTAGAATTATTAATTTTTAAATTGAATTGATAATAAAATTCTATAGAAATTTGATTTTTAAAATAAGTATATTTTTTATAGAAATTTTAAACATTAAAAATTCAATATAAATTTTGATTTAATTGAAAGCTTTAATAAAAACTAAAATTATATTATTAAATTTTAAATAAAAATTTGTTATTTTATAAAATTTCAAATATATAATAATATTGATTGATTTAATATTGAATTCTAAAATAATGAGTTTTGATATAAAAAAGTACTTGCGCATGGATCCAGCAATTATTAAAGACATGCCCTCGTATATTCTAACAGAACCTAAATAAGTACCTAGGTGTTTCTCTAACAAGTGGTTAAGATAAAAAGATCTACATAGTTCAAACGATAATTTTATCACGAGTAAAAATCAGATAATCAAATAAAAAATTCTCATTTTGCTCCAGTATTGCTCCAATGTTATTGCCTTAACAATTTAAAGAACCCCAACCCCAATATCTGTTGCGATTAAGCTACAGATACATGAAACAGAAGAAACCCAAAATTTCTTTTCGAAATCAAATCACAACTCGTCATGGTCCTCAGTAGCAGCTGCGGTCTCGGTGGCCTCAGCAACCTTGCTAGAAACGGTCTCACTAGCCTCCTCAGCTGCGCTCTTGACAGACTCAGTAGCGGCTTCTGCTTGCTTGGCCAAGGACTCAGCGATTGGCTTCTCTGCCTCTGGAGAAGCAGCGGCACTCTCATCATAGGTAACTTCAATCTCGTGTTGGCCATTCTCCTTAACAAACTTGATCAAATCTTCGATGCTACGGCTACCGTTGTAGGTAACTGGGTTCTTCTTGTCACCGGCCTTGTACAACTTGATAGTTGGGAAACCTTGAATCTCATCTGGAACATCGTTAAGAGTAGCATCGACCTTGGCGATGGTAACCTTGTCATTGTGACCGGCATCAGCGTAAAGGCCAGCGAGGATATCGTATTTTGGTGCGAGAGCCTTGCAGTGTCCACACCATGGAGCGTAGAACTCAATCAAAACATCCTTCTTGTCATCTAAAACGATGTCATCGTAGTTGTGAGCGACGACGATTTGAACTGGGCCTTCTTGCTTCTCTGGGATTGGCTCAGACTTGATGCTTGGCTCAACCTTTCCGTCAACGTATTGTTGAACGAACTTGCTAATGGAAGCTTCGGTGATCTCAACACTTTGGTCGAAAGGATATTTCTTGTTGTCAACAGTGTTTTGGATAGCGAAAGCGGGGAATTTGTCAGCGTCGAGGTTCAAGTTACCAGCATGAGCTCCGAAAGCCTTTGCGTCAATGGTTGCGAAGCTGATGGCACCACGGTGCTTCTCTGCGACTGGCTTAAGAGCCTCAGCGAGAGTAGTTCTCTCCTCTGGGGTTTCAGCGAAAATGTATGCCAATGGAATTCCAGTGGCCATGTATCCGGCGTATGTTTCTGGGCCAACTTCGCCGATCAAGGGGATAGACGCAGTCTTTGCGAACTTCTCAATAACCTCAGCGTCGAAAGCATCTGGGAAGATAGCTTTGCCCTCATCGAATGACTTGTAAAGAACAACGGATGGGAAGCTAACACCCTCGGCTTTTGCCAAAGCGGCATCATTACTGGCACCGAAGAGGTAGTCGTCACGGAGTTTCTCTGCGACTGTGTTGAAGGTGGCGTTCGAGGTCTTGTCCTCAGCATCGAAGTATGCAACCAAAACTACCTTATCGGCGGTCTTGAAATCCTCCAATGTATCCTTGGTTAAGACGGAGACGGCGGGGAGGGATTGCTTGGTCATGTATGAGACAATCCTAGATGCGTTGTTAGTTTATTAATATTGCTGGCAATGGAAAACTTCTACTCACGCTGGGGCCTTTCTTGCTCCAGAATACGGGGAAACGTTTTCTGGGCCACGGAAGACCTTGAGAGTTGGGTAACCCTCAACACCAAAGCTTTGGCAGAGGTCGGCTTCTTCTGTGCAATCAACCTTGGCCAAGGCAATATTCTTCTCCTTCAATGTTGTAGCAGCTTCTTCATACTCCGGGGCCAATGCTTTGCAGTGACCACACCAAGGTGCGAAAACTAGAGAATAAAAGTATTAGTCGGTGGTTCATATGAGAGGCAGCTGCATTATATTGGAGAAACTTACATTCTAGAAGGGCCAAATCATTCTCCTTGATGAAATCTGGGAATGTTTCCTTGGTAAGGGAAGCGACATCAGAAGCCGATGCAATTGCAGCTGATGCAAAAGCTAAGGCAACACATTGTAGATAACGCATATTGAAGGTATTTCAATTCACGGGCCTATGGTGTCAATGCGTTAGAGGGGGATGCCAATGTGAAAGTGTGAGATGCGCAGGTGTAAATAAGAGTATCCCGATTCAAGGGAACTTTTAGAAACCCCAATTACGAGATGATTGGAAACTTACGTCTGCTTAATAAAAAAAAGAGGTGGTTGTTAGAAGAAAGAATGGATTGTGTTGATTCGGGGAAGAAGAGGAGAGGTGTTCTCTTTATTCGATGATTCGGCTACTGTGAATTTATCAGCCTTCCCGCTAGTGATTAAGATAACAGCGTGTCTTTAGTATTTTTGTGTACGATTACAGGTTCACAGATTCACAGAGCGATGTTATGCCGAATATCCCTTCTGGGTAGCATGTACCAAGACTAATTTAACCCATACATAACATCAGGCTGAATCATTTCGACCATTAGAAATCCAAAAATGAATAAAGGACAACATATCATTATCGCTTTTCTCTCATCAATCACATGTTATGTCGCCAATATTGAGACTTTGTATTGCATATCAAACATTCAAGATGGATCTGGTCCCCTTTTTTGACCCCGCCTTCAGTGATGATCTGTCGGTAACTATTGATCCGCAAAGCTGGTTAGACTTTCTTCAAGGAGAGGAGTGACATCCATAGGAAGGTACTTTAAACTCCAAAATATACATCTCCAACCTTACCTCATAAACTCTGCTTCTGGTACCCTCATATCAGCACGATTGATACTCGTTGAACCTTTTGTCTATCCTTGAACTATGGATGTATGTAAATGTACGTAGATATCGACAGTTATCATATCATGAATTGCCAACCCCAGCTGAAGGAGGCAGGCGAGGCGCGTAAGTCAAGGTAAGGATGGGTTCAGCCCCCTTTTCTTTGCCTCTTTGCCTCTTTGCTTCTTCACTTACAAATTACAAATTCGGTTCAAGCCTCTTCCCTATGTCTCTTCACTTACAAATCCATACTTTTTTGAAAGTCCACCAATCATGGATAGGTAGCCGCTGATGGATATGACTCGGGCATTCTGCGTAAGCCAAAAAGCTCGAGTTCAAGTATGCCTTGTGATCTGAAACAATGGAACATTTTTCAGATCGGATTACTGATCAGTCTATTCATAGCCACTCTTCATAGCCACCCGTGACTTCAATACACAATATTGGCTCATCCAGCAATGTTGGATTCCGGCGCATATTTGATAGATTAGGAGTAGCGCATAATCTTCTGTCGGAAAGCCTGTCGTAAACCTTTGTCAAAGTTTAGACATATCTCACACTAACCACAGATTTCGCAAAGCCTGTGTAGCTTCAATTTGCCATGGAAGCATCAAGAAGTGTTTTATCCATGAGATACACACACAACTCTCCTGCGTAAAATGCAGATCTCTGTCACAGTTTGACAAATCCCGATTGACAGTGAACTTTCACCGTCTCTATGATACTCATCATGGCAATGTCTTAAAGCTGGTAGAGATGGCCTGTTTGTAAGTACAAAAGGTATAAGATTATCATGCATTTCTTTCCAACTTTCCTTAGAACGGAGGAATGAAAAGGTTCTCATGATAATTATATATCTGACATCGAAACATGAGTACAATAAGAAGATTGTTGATAAAGAGAAAACGCCAAATCCAAAGATGCCTTAAATGTCTCAAGGAGGAAAATGATTTCTAAAAGAACGATATATCATCCAATGTGTCAAAAGCTTATGAGAGGATCATACATTATGAGCCCAGGAAGCTGTATAAAAGAGAACTTCCTGATATTGTCAAATCCCGACTTGATATCAAGATCATATATCTGATACCTACTTCCGAGCAGAATTTCCGGATAGTTTCCGGACAGGGTAAAATGAAGGTGCTGGTGTAATGATGATATGATATGAGGTTGAGATGATGCATATAAACCAATTTCTAATGCTACCTATGGAATTGTAGATTGATATTGATGACGGTGGACCTATCTTTACTTCAAATCCATTTTTTCAAAGAGTCTTGAGATTCGAGAGGTAATAAAGTGTTGGGACCAGATTTAGAAGTCGTCATTCCCATCCAATCCTTCCCAATTAAGATTTCACCCCCCCTCCCTATTCTCGACCCTCATGTACTTTTCCTTCCCCTTTCACTTTTTCAACAGTACCGACTTCCCGTCAACGATCAGATGCTTGTTCTCTTCCACCCTTTTGTTTGTTTGTCAAAGTGCTATCTTCAACTACCTCTTCTTCCCTTCTCATCATCATCTGTAAATCTACAGATTCTCACAGGCTGAGGATTATCTTTTGGTCAGCTTCGAATCACTTTCTGCCACTTCTTTTTAACCTTACCTCATATCTGCATACCATTTCTCTGGATTGTTTCTAGAGTCATTAATTCCTTCATTAAATCTTATTCTCAATCCATTAACAATCATATCCATTGGACATACATCAAATGTATCCACAATGGCAACTGTTCCACCAGGAAAACAGCCAATAAATCGTGAAAGAGGGTTCAGTGGTGTAAGTGCTGGCAGCGGTATCAATGGTTCACTGAGTCCAAGCGGGATCAATCCTATGCGACAGAGGGCAAGTTTTGACAGATCATCAACACGCAATGGATCCTCGATCAGGAGCTTTCAAGATAGCATCAATCAGCCCTCGTTACCAAAAGGCTTTGAGAGTATGCTGAAAACTACAACCGAGACAGGGGATATCGGTTTATTCTCCATCAAGCCATCACGCTTGCCTCAAACTTTCAATGCATTGCCACGACGCAGCAATGGAGGTTACAGAGATATTGATCCGCAGAGATCACGTCCAGCTTTTTCGCCGTATGGGATGCCCGCTGTTGATGATAGAAGACGACTACCTTCCTACACAAGAAAGGGTTCCTGGGGAGTCAAACCATCATATGATTCTGCCAGCGTTAACTCGGTCAATTCAAGTAACAGGGGTTTTGAGGATCCCGATTATCGATCTTATTCCATGACCCAAACAGCATCCCAATCACCATATACTCTTTCTAACCAAAGATCCTACGCCAGCCTTCGTAGTCAGCAGGATGGGTCTGCACTTGTCCAACGACCTCGATCGCCATTCGCATATCCAACACGCCTGAAGAGGCCCGGGTTCAGACCTTCCTCCCCCGCACTCACTGACGGCGGTGGAATAGACTATAGTCGCCGTGCAGAGATTGATCGAATGCCTCATGTTAGTCGCCCAATTCTCATTATTAAATCACTGCTTCCAAATTATCTTCTGACTGATATTGTGCAATAGGGAGCGGTCCGAAACGTATCTTCTCCAGCTTCTTTATATGCCCAGAAACGAGTACCGCCACCATTGTCACTACGACCAGACGCGAATCGATCGACTCATTCATTGTTAAGTCAACCTTCACCAAGGAGGCGTACGCCAAGTCCTAACCTACGACAGGGAAATGGAATGGTTGGACCAGATTGGCAACGCCGCAACGGCCCATCTTCAATTAACACATCTCCAGCTCGAAGTACACTTAGTCTTTCCTCAACTACCAATTTTGCCCCGCCGAGTTGTCTCAATCGGCAACAAATACGCCAGGAAAACCATCACCTCTGTACTATGACTATACGGAAGATTTTGAGGTGGAAACCCAGAATCGGTCAAACTTGGAGCCTCCACCGCAATTCCAACTGCAAAGGACAATTCACGAGGATCGACCCTTAAGTTCAGCACTTCGGCCTCTTGCAAATAGTCTTCCCTCCAGACTCAATGCAAATAATAACCATCATCTTCGTGCATCATCATCGGCCTCAACCATAATTCGACATCCTATGAGGAAGAACAGTGCAGAAAGTGGAAGTGGGATTCCAAATAATGGTGGTCATGTTCGAGCTGCACTTAGTATCAGCGCAAGGGACTGTGAGAACTCTGCGCCATCCAACAGTGTTCTTGATGATGCCAGCTCTATAGATATATCAAGTTTAGGTGCCAATGCTCAAGAGTTGAGCTCACGGGTGTCGAGAGCATTTGGCCTACACCCTTCACCGCAATTTGAAGTCACGATTACCTCAGACTATGAGGAAGTTGAAGTCAAGCAGACCGAGCTTGCAATTAGAGAAGTTGGTAATATGATTCCAAAAGGCGGACTTCAACAACGGAGTTCATCATTACCAACCGCGAAAATAGCAGGTGAACTAGACACTTCTCCATCGATCATCGAGCCACAACAAACCTCTACTAAAGGCGATGCAGGCGAAGGTATTATTCGTACGTCTGGAAAGCAATCTCTTGAAAGTCTTCCGGATAGCACAGAGCTTCAGCAACCAGTGGAGGATACAAATGAATGTGACGGTTCGTCCAAATTCAACTCTGCGCGTACAAGCAAAGTCAGATCTAGTGGCTTCTCCACCATTGGCAATGGTCTTGATGAATTAGCCGATCTGATTTCGACCGATGATGCTGGTCGATCCAACACCTTTGACAATGAATATACTGGACTACGGAGAACTCCTATGATGTCGCCAACACTGCCTCGAGACTCTTACTTTGATCCTCCCTCGGTGCAGCGTACCAGCCCTCCCTTATCGCTGATCAAGAAATCGGAGCGAAGTTGTGCTCAAACTGTGGCTACTGATAAAAGCCTCGAAGATGGGCTTCAAGTTCATGAGGGGCGAATCGAAAGGGCAAGCTACCCGACTATAGGCCACCCGAGTTTCAAAGCCTTGGTGATCAAGCTCCAAGTAAGATCATGCCTAGATCTGAGTCTCCAATGTTAGCACCCAAGCCTATCTCACCAGCAAGGGAGTTGAAATTGAAGAACAGCGTGCCACAGCTTATGAAATCTCTCCCCAAAATACCCGACTCTTCAATTCGTGGATTGGCAGTGCCTGGGAGGTCTGCTCTTGCGGATGCTGACATGCCTTTTCATCTCTCGGAATTTTCCCCAAAAAAGAATTTTGGAACAATCGAGGAATATGCAGTGAGCTCATCGTCAATCGACCCACCTAAAATATATTCTTCTATAGAAAAGGAGAAGCTCAAAAAGTCAACGGAAGAAGCTGAATTGATCTCTAGCCCAGTTCAGAAACATAAAGTTGATCCATCTAGAGAGAATCATGGCCCTCGCTCTTCGCCCATGAAGTTGAAGCTGAAGGTTAGAAATTCTGTTGCAGAGAAGGCATCATCTTCGGATCTTCAGGCACGAAAACATGAGGAGACTTTCTCATGGGCTAGTTCGCAGGACAGTAATATACCTCCGATTAGCCAAGAAGAACAAAGCGGAGATTTAAAGCCTGCTAAGCTCAAATTGAAACTAATCAGAGCTACAGGCTCAGAAGCTTCCGGAACTGTAAGAGTCCATGACCAATCCAGATCTAGCAACGATCTGCACGTCTCATGTCCGAAAGATCTATTTACGCCTACCAGTGGAATTGACAATATATTCAGGCAAGTTAGTAAGCATCTTCATTCACGGAGACCTAGTGCGAATAGTGATCAACATTCTGGAGATGTTATTGAGATGATGCCAAGCCAAGTATCGCTGAATTTGTCTTCTCGCTTGAATCTTGGCGTGCCTCATGCTGATCTATCAAGAAACTTGCCGAGCCCCACTGACGTCCGAAGCTTTTTCTCCGATGACAGTTCTCATCGCAATGGTGGTCATGGTTTACGAAAAAGAATTTCAAACTTTCGAGCTCGCGTTGGTGTGCCATACGTAGCTCGTAATGGATCATATTCTTGTGATGACATAGTCTGGAGAGATCAAGTTGGAGGGATTGGCCAATCGCCTCTAGCTGTCAAGTCCGTCGCTGATCTCAATGCCACGAGGACCAGCTTCATAGATTCACCAAATCCTCGGCGTTCAGAGCATAGGCTGCATGGACATCGGTTGCGAGCAAAAGTTTCTGAATGGTTTCGTGGAGCTCGAGCTGCTATCTCGGCTCGTGTCAAATCGCGAAGTACAACCAGTAATGGTAATGAAAGATCAAGGGCTAGTGCATGATTCTCTGGGCATGGCACTGTGTCGCCTTGTTGATATTTAGCTTGTGATACTTGTATTGAGCTTGTCATCCGGTTTTGGAGGAAAGATACAGTCTGGCTGTTTTTTTCTTTCTTTTTTTTGCTGGTGGCGTTTGGGCGTGTCAAGGCCGAGATTTGCATGGGATGGGAGGGGGTGGAGTTTTAGCTCACTGGTGATAGGAAACAAATTAGACTGAAAGAAAACAGTAATGTTAATGAATATTATATATGATTACGATAGAAAGGCCCTGCATTGGTTTATGTGAGTCGCTGTAGTTTGTATTTTGAGGTGCAGGTACTAGGTAGTAGTGAGGGAGAACCGAGATAATATCAAGTCATAATGTGAAGAAAACGTCTTGTGCAATTTGGATTCATTACGCAATTATTTATTGAAGGCAAAGCCACGGCCGTTGAAGCTAGGCTAGTCTAGTCTAGTCTAGAAGGTATGCAGTACTAAAATGAACAGAGGTTAAAACTTAAAGAAAGATGATCCACAAGCTTAAGTCTCGGTAAAAGTTTCCGTGTGGTGTTCTGAGCTAATTATGCTAGGTGGCTAGGTAATCTTGGGTGAAGTTGATCTGCAAGTTAGGAGGTTAGTGGGTTAGTAGTAGGTTACTAGATAATTGTTGTTGGATTAAGGTTTGGGGGTTGGAGGTTGGAGGTTGGAGTTGGAGATTGAGGGGTTGGAGGATTGGGGATTGGAGGTTTGAGGGTTGGGGATTGGAGGTTTGGAGAATTGGACGTTGGAGGTTGGAGGTTTGGTGATGGTGTGGTGTATTGGGTATGGTTTAGTGGGTATACATAGTATATATAGTATATCTTGGGGGAGAGGGAGGGGAGGGGAGGGGTAAGTTTGGTTAGGGAAGGGTAGGTTAGATTGTCATTAATTGGTTGATGGGTTGATTGGTTGGTTCAAGTGTTAATTAAAAAGGAGGTGGATTAGATTTTGTTTTATTATGCTCTGTTTAGTTTAGTTTAATTTAGCTATCTTTATATTGAGTTTATTTTCGTTTGGTTTGTATTGGTTTGTACTAATACTGGGATTTTAGTCTTTGTTGTTGGGAAGATTGGGTGTGAGAAGAATGGGAAGATAGGAGAAGAAAAAAGGTGTTTAACTTATTGAAATCTTGATGTGCTTGCTGGTTTGTTGGTAGTTTGATGGTTAGTTGATGGTTAGTTTGCTGTTTCTTGGTTCTTGGCTGCGTCATGGATGATGGATGATGGATGGACGGAGTAAGCTTTTGGGATTTTGGTATGAGGGGTGAATTTTGTATACTGGGTATGTGATTACTTGGATTTGAGAAAGAGGGGGTTGATGGGAGGTGATGGAGGTTAATGGATGGATAGATGGATGGAGTAGTACTGACAGGATAACTTGTGAGTACCTCTTTATGTACTAAGTGATGGATTGTCCATTGTAGTATAGTGCTCATGAAAAACTTTCCCCTCCTGTACATGGGTCTGCAGAAAAGTTTAGGCGGAGGAGATGGGGCATGAATCTGAGAAAGTTGCAAGTTGAAGCGATGCTTGATGATAAACTCTAGAATACTGATATCTGTCCAAAGTTCTAAACACATAGATGTATTTCATAGCTAATAGGAGCCAAGAAAAAGAAAGGAAGGAGATTGGATGTTGAATTTTGTTGGGAGTTTAGCTTGTGTTTGTATGTGTGTTAGAGGTAAGAGGGGATTGATAGACGTCATTTTTTATTATCTAGTTGTTGTGATGGATGAAGATCAGTTCTAAGTACCAGTACATAGTTTTGAGCGGGGAAGAGGAGACAGTTATATCTCCCCTTTCCCCAACTCCTGAGTGTTTGATCCTCTTCCTCCATATTGAGAGAATATTAAATAACATTGATTGCATATACCGAGTTTTTGGGCTTCATATATACTTTATCAACCTATTTCTTCTATATTTACCACTGTGTCGTCTGTTATATATGAAGATAGCAGTTGGATTATATACATAAGAATTTTCGATCACATCCGTTCTTCCTCGATACAATTTAAGATCTATTCATACCTTTCCTGATAGTCTCCTACTCTATCTTGTCTCCCACTATCGCACACAACCACCCACCATCGAAATGACAAATATAGTGCAAATGTACCGACCTATCTTCGGCTCCAAAAAGAATAAGAACCAAGGACTTAGAGTCGACACTACTATTGTTCACTCAACGCTTACGGATGCCATTACACCTCCATCCTCCGGCACTGTGTCCAATTCTGCGATGTTGATTGCAGATTATCATATAACGAGAGGCACTGCCAGTACAGTCACGCCGCCTGGATCACCGGTATCGCCGCTGGGAGAGTCGATGAACAATAATAGAAATGGGGATTCGAGTTGACAACGAACGAATAGCGTGAATCCTATCGAAGGATATCGGCGAAACCCTCAGCCAGACATGAGAGTGATAGTGGAAGGTGCAGACATTCCGAGCCCGGGTTCAGCAGAGTTTACGGAGCACGTGAGTGAGGTTGTTGAAGACGAGGAGATTGTTACGGCCAAGAATTGTGCGGATAATTCTGCAGAACACGCTCGTCCAGGTAGAACTGAAAGGAGGATGAGCTTTTGGAGGTTCAAAGGGAAAGGAATCCAAAGGGAGACGGACGAAGTGACGCCTCCAGTAAGTGGTGGAGCGATTGATAGCTCCAAGTCTCGTGCGTCTGATGGATCAATTGGTGTTAAAGTTGGATCTGGTGGTGGATTTCCATGGTTTAGACGGATGGGGAGTGGAAAGGGGCAAGAGAAAGAGAAGGCAAAGGCAAAACAAAAGGAAGAGAGCGAAGAAATTGATGAGACGTCATCAACTATGCCTGTGTTCAATTCGCCTTCCTGGAGTTCAAATTCGACGAGCAATGGAAGGTGGAAGGGCAAAGAAAATGAGAATGATGGAGAGAAGAGGAGAAATAAGAGTGAGGGCGAGGTTGCACTATTCAACAAGGTAAGGGAAGGGGAGGAGGAAGACAAAAAGGGAAAAGGCAGAAGGTGGACACTGCCTCGGATTGGAAGAAAGAATGTTATAGATGCGCAGGAAAAGGAGAGTCCATCGGAACGGTTGGAGAGGGAACAGCTGGAGAGAGAAAGGGAAGAACGGAATATCGCTAACAGGGCAAGATATCCCGATGGCGTTCTTGATTGTGTAAGTTTGTTTTTATTTGTGGTTGCGATTTTTCCATTAGGTAGGTACATTAAGGTTTGCGCAAGAAGAAGCTAATTTGTTTGCTCCTGCTTTCAGTGTAAAGACGAATTCAATGACCAAGGACAATGCGCTGAAGGCCAAATGAATGAGTTAATGTTAACTGCTAAGAATCTCAAGGCCGAAGCCAAGGCCAGGAGACAAAGTGTCACTGCTCGAATAAGACCCTAGAACACGGCACCACCAACAATGAACACGCGCTCTTCTTCACGCTTGACCCATTGAATTATTTTGTTGGCACCTTGAGCCAAACCCGCGCGTGAAGCGTTAGGACCGGCTACACAGTAGAATTCGAACTGGGGGGTTGTCCAAGCGAGGGATATACTGTCGCGGGAGACGCAATGGAGTACTTTAAGATGGGAATGTTTCTTGTGGGTTGCGGAGTGTAGGTTTTGATATCGATTCATCAGTCTGAGGTTGGTGTTAGTGGTTTGTGGCTATCTACGATGCTTATAATTGATGGCATGTGGCGATACCCTTAATAGCTACTTTGCAGTATTCTACAACACGGTCGCTTTGGCATATAATAATGATAAGAAATGGACTATTATATCTTACCTTCGACGATTGACGAGGTTGTTGTAATAAGGATCAAATGATGGCATTGTGAATTGAACATTTGCTCGAGACTTGTATAGGAAATGTCGCAAGGGCGTCCCAGGAGCAATATCAGTTGTCTTTGGACGTCCCTGGCGAACGGCAGCTTTAATGATGTTCATACTTCCATTCTTTTCAAGTTGATTGACCACGTCGTCGCGCATTTGTTTAAGCTCAAAAAAGCTTTCCTTATCAGCGCTTATGAGTAGCACTGCAACTTCGTCTTCCGTTCTACCCTTTTTGTTTTCGGAGACATTGTCTTTAATAGGTTCGCCATTTTCCACGCTTAGGAAGCTCACATACATGTAGAGATATCCTCGATTGTTGAATCCCGGGAGACATAAAGGAATCCAATTCTCCCCGCCTCCAGCTCGAACCCCACCGGCTTCGAAAAGCATGTTGAATATGAGTTGGAGGTCGCTAGGATGTAACGAATGTCGTTTAGGACGTATCACACTTACAAGCCTACCACCTGCTACAATCAACCCGTAAAGAAGCTTGTCAGTTCGTGCTTTCAACAGAGTATTGTTTATAACATGTCGCTGGGACTTCCGCAATTTCAAACATTCCAACGCAGACAATAATGCAGATGGAGAGCCTTTAGTAAAGGTGTCCGCGAGTGATGATAGTAAGGACTCAGTTCCCTCTAAAGGTCGGCGAAGATCTGTATTTGGTCTGTTTGAGAACAAATGTGTGAGAGTTGGTAAGGTCAGGGTTGATAAAATCTGCATATATAACGCTTCAAGCTGACCCTTCAATTGAGCATCACTCTCGCCAAGTTTACTGATAGCAACAAAATATAAAGGTCCATCGGTTGAGATCACGAATCTTGTGCGGCCTGCAGTAAATCCTGTAAGGGGATCTTTTGAGCCCTCGTAGAATGATATGATCGTTTGAATAATCCCAATGTAGCCATTGATAAGGTTTTGATCCCCATGGCGACTGTATATAGGTTTTCCGGCGGAGGAGAGAATCAAGTAATGCTTGAGTTTTGACTTCCACTGTATAAGTAATTCCTCTTCGTTGCCGCCCTTGCTATCAACCTCCCCTATTTCGTCGAATTCGCGGTCGAAATGTACAAGAGAATTATCCTCAAACTCCTCTGCCTCGTCAATCGGCTCCCCATGATCCGCTTGTGAATTCAACAATTTCCATGCCGGGCTCTGCGCGTTAAGTCC